GGGCGGGCCTGTCCATGCCCCCTCCCACCCTCCCGCCGTGTGAAACCACAGGGGTGCAGTGGTGACCAGGGTGGGGACCCCACTTCCCCGGTGACCTTCCTTTTAGGCAAGGGAAAGAGGGTGGGGCTGAGCTGGTGGTGAAAATAGCACTTGGCATTTTCCAGACACACCCCCTCCCAGTCTCCCCCCCAAGCCTGTGCCGAAGGGCAAATGGAAAGGGCACTCCCCCATTCCCGTTTACACTGGCTGCCCCCCTCAGTCTACACTGTGGGTGGTGGACCGCCGGGTCCCCTCCCCAGCTTCCAGTGGGATGGGGGTGGCTCTGAGAGGTAACTGGGGTCATTTGACTGCCCCTGCTGCTTTGAGGACTGGCTGTTTCCCTCCCTCCCTTCCCGAAGGATTAGCCCCCACCCCAACCCCCTGAGATTCAAAGCCCAGCAGGAGGGTGCAAACCAGCAACAAAGCAGGTGGGCCCTGGGCCTCCATCTGTGGGTACTTGGCCAGTTGCTCATGCCCCAGGCAGTAGGCTCTCCCACTCCAACTCCCACCCCAGATTCTGAGAACTGGTGGGTGAGGAGCTTGCAGAGACCATCACTAGGCCCAGGGAGGAGTGGGGATGCCACCCCTTCCTGCCCTGCTGCCCAGGACCCCCGTTGGGGTGGGAGGACTGTTGAGACTGAAGGTGCTTCTGTCCAGGGGCCACCAGGTCAGGTGCTGCCCAACTCAGGGAGGGGGGGCTCTTTCCTGGCTAGCCTAGGTGGGATTGGCTGAGGGGCTGGGGTGGAGCCACTGGGGGCGGGGGAGGCTCCTCCTCCCAGGGCCTACCCTCAGCACAGGCCCTGAGAATTTCCTCTGGAGAAGGCCCCCTGCCAAGGGCCGCTTACAGCTGGGACCTGGGAAGGGGAAAACCGGTCTCTCCCACCTCCCCTCAGCCCTCAGCTGCAGCCCCCCCACGCAGTGGAGGCGTGAGAGAGACAGGAGGCCTGTCCTCACAGACAGCGGCTGCTTCCAGCTGTGCATGCTTGTGTGCTGCTCACGTGTGTATCTACGCTTGTGGCCATGTCCGTCTGCGCATGTGCGCCTGTGCCTGCCCTGTGTGTGCCGTCTGTACTGTGTCTGCATGTGTGTGTCTGCACTAGGCATGTTTGTGTGTGTGTGTGTGTGTACTGTGTCTGCATGAGTGTGTGTCTGTACTAGGCATGGGTGTGCCTGCAATATATCTGTATGTGTGTGTGTGCTGCCTACACTGTGTCTGCATTGTCTCCACTGTGTCT